GTGTGTGAGTGTTTGAGTGTGTGAGTGTGAGAGTGTGAGTGTTTGAGTGTGTGTGTGTGTGAGTGTGAGAGTTAGTGTGTGAGTGTGAGTGTGTGTGTGTTTGTGTGCGTGAGTGTGAGTGTGAGTATGAGTGAGTGTGTGTGAGAGTGAGTGTGAGTGTGTGTGTGTGAGTGTGTGTGTGTGTGTGAGTGTTTGAGTGTGTGTGTGTGTGTGTGTGAGAGTGAGTGTGAGTGTGTGTGTGTGAGTGTGAGTATGAGTGAGTGTGAGTGTGTGAGTTTGTGTGTGTGTGAGTGTGTGAGTGTGAGTGTTTGTGTGTGTGTGAGTGAGTGTGAGTGTGAGTGTGAGTGTGTGAGTGTGAGTGTGAGTGTGACAGTGTGAGAGTATACAGTGTGGTGGGGTCACCTGTAGTGTGGTTGAACTGAAGCTGAGGATTGTGCCCACCCCCATGGGTATGGAACATGGCTATCAGCCTCTGCCATGTGATTTTGCAATGTGTATCTCAATGTCCCCGTTGGAGGGTGGTTACCCGGAGGTTGGAGGCTGAATATCCTTCACCCGCTGAAGTGTTCCCCCACTGGGAGGGAACATCCCTGTCTGGTGATTGTTGTGCGGTGCCCATTCATTCGTTATCGCAGCGTCTGCATGGTCTCACCAATATACCATGCCTCGGGGCATCCTTACCTGCAGCGTATGAGGTAGACAACGTTGGCTGATCCATGAATATCTGCCTTGTACGTGATGGGTGGTGTTCCCATGTGTGCGGGTAGTGTCCATGTCGATGATCTGACACATCTTGCAGAGGTTACCATGACCGGGTTGTGTGGTGTTGTGGTCGATTTTGTCCTGAAGGCTGGGTCATTTGCTGCCAGCAATGGTCTGCTTAAGGTTTAGCGGTTGTTTGAAGGTGAGAAGTGGAGGTGTAGGGAAGATCCTGGTGAGGCACTTATTGTCATTGATAATGTGTTGAAGGCTGTGAAGAATATGACGTAGTCTCTCCACTCTGGGGATGTACTGGATGACAAAGGGTACCCTATCGGTAATGTCCCATGTCTTGTCTTCTGAGGGGGTCATTACAGTTTTTCACTGGTACAACAGAACTGGCGATCGATGAGTTGAGCATCATATCCTGTTCTTAAGGGGGCGTCCTTCAGCAATGTCAGGTGTCCATCGTGTTCCTCCTCATCCGAATTTATCCTGTGTAAGTGCAGGGCTTGTCCGTTTGGGATGTCTTCTTTAATATCTTTAGGGTGGAAGCGAGAGAAATGCAGCATCATGAGGTTATCCATGGGCTTGCGATAGAGTGAGGTACTGAGGTGTCTGTCCCTGATGGAGATGTGTGTGTCCAAGAATGAGACTGAATCTAAAGAGTGTTCCATGGTGAGTCTGATGATGGGATGAAACTTGTTGATATCGCTATGTAGTTATTTCAGTGATTCCTCGCCATTTGACCAAAGGAAGAAAACATTATCCATGTATCTGGTGTGTAACATTGGTTGGAGGTCCTGCAGAGTGAAGAAGTCTTGTTGGCATGTTCTTATTTGACTAAAAAAACCAAATACATTTTCCATGAGGGGTTTAAACAGACATCTGTTAGCAAACGTAGCTTTAGAAATGTCAAATTATTTTCAAATTCAAGTAGAATGTAAATATCCTGTGTATTTTTCCATTTCATTATCACATTTGGAACGTAGACAGAAATCCACATGTAGAGGGAGGCTCTGAAACAGATTTAAGACCAGTCCCAAAGCTTTACAATTTTACAAAATGGTATAAAATTCTCAAGTACAGGAATGATAACTGCGGCTTTCCTTTAGCAGCCAGTTTCCAGAATTTGAAAATTCATGGTGCCGAGGGGAATATTGATGGCATTACTGAACTGGTACTCCAGAGGCCAATGTCAAAACCCATCATGGCAGCTGAGGAGTGTATTTTGAATGAATTAAATAAATCTTGAATTAAAGACGAGCACCATTAATGACGCCGATGAGTCTATTCGATTACCGGAAAAGCCCATCTGGTACATTGATGTCTTTGAGGGAAGAAAACCTGCTCTGATCAGCAGCCAGAAGGAAGAAGATGGCTCAGTAATGCTGTCTCACTTTGACATCCTGAGGATTACCCAGTGCCAGACTGTATGTCACAAAGTGCACAGACAGCATGGTCTCACTGTTCTTCCTGTCCTTTATCATAGAGCAGTACAGCACAGTACAGGCCCTTCGGCCCACGATGTTGTGCCGAACTTTTACCCTAAACCTAAGGTCTATCTAACCTCCACCCCTACCTTATACTCTCATCCATATGCCTATCTATTAGCCGCTTAAATGCCCCCAATGAGGCCGACTCCACTACCCTCTCAGGCAATGCATTCCACGCCCCTACCACTCTCTGAGTAAAGAACCTACCTCTGACGTCTCCCCTATATCTACCTCCACTCACTTTAAAACTATGCCCCCTCGTAATAGCTACCTCCACCCTAGGAAAAAGTCTCTGGCTCTCGATCATGGAGGACTTAGCCTGTGAGAGAGTCTGGATGACCAGAGAAAAGTTGACTAAAGCCCTCAAATCCTTAGAAAAGAATAACTCTCCCAGAAGCGATGGCTTACCGGCTGAGTTGTATTCTGTTGTATGGAAGTTGATTGGCCAGGACCTGCTGGAGATGTATGACAATATGCTTCTTGCAGGTACCATGTTAAAATCCATGAGGAAAGGTATCATCACCGTCATCTACAAGCAGAAGGGGGAGGAGGGAGGACATTAGAAATTGGCGACCAATTTCGCAGCTGAATGTGGATTACAAAACCCTGTCTAAGGTCATCACATACTGGGTCAGGTCTGCTGTGAGATTGATGATTGACACACACCAAACCTGTTCTGTCCTGGGCAGGATGATCTCAGAGATCCTTGCGCTCCTCAGGGATATGATCACCTATATGTAGGAGAGGGGGGTGGACACCTGTTTCAGAGGCCTCGGCCAAGGGTAGGCCTTTTGACAGGATATTGTACACCGACATGGGGTACGTGCTCCCCAAAACAAGCTTTGGGGAGGGAATCTGACTACTCTATACCAACTTAAGTAATGCATCCTCAATCAATGGGGTGGGAACCAGAAAGCTTCCTGATCGGCCGAGTCTATGAGGAAGGATACAAGTCTGACAGGGGTGAAGGCTGAAACTCAAAGCCTCCCTGTGCACAGATGACATCGCTGATTTCTGCTTGGATTCGCTGTCGGTACACAGACTGCTGAGCATCAATTGGGAATGGCCTCAGGAGCCAAGGTAAATTAAGGCAAGAGTGAGGCCACGTTCTTTGGGAACTGGGCAGACAGATCCTTTCTCCCCGTTCCCCATCAGATCAGGCTATTCTGAAGATGCTGTGTATATGGTTTGGAGGGGGTGGAGCGTGACCAAAATTTAAGGGGGTGTGTATCACCAAGGTGAAGCAGAAACAGGGAATATGGGAGGCACCACCGCCTCCCCATTGGAGATAAAAACGTGGTCACCAGCTGTGAGGTTCTCTCGGTGTCGCTGTTACGTTGCGCAGGTCTGGCCCATTCCCCAAACCTGCATCACTGCAGTGACCTGAGCAATCTTCCCCTTCATCTGGAGATCAAAAATGGGCCAGGTCTGACAGCGCACCATGTGTAAAGCTCTGGATAAGGAGGGGGATGAAGATACTCAATGATACCCTCACCCTGATGCCCACCTTTGTGTGTGACTACATCAAGCTACGCTCATGCCCTTTGTTGTGCAAGCACCATGTGTCACTATGTGTTGTCTCTAACGTTACAAAAGGTGGGGCTGGCCTCGTTGCCACACAGTGCCCCAAGCAATTGGACTATTCTGTAGTACCTGTCCCGCTCAGAGAAATTTATAAAGGAAAACATCTTTGACCACAACTCCATCAGGCAGTGGTCAGCACATAGCGTCTTGGAGAGTCCGCAGGAAAAGGAAAGGGCTGGTTCTCTCGGTTACTCTCCCTGAGTCGGCTGTATAGCATTTTGCAGAATGTCTCATTGCTAGAACTTCTCAACAAGCACCAAGACATCGCTGAGCTGGTGATAAAGACGGGCATTACCCATGAGATCCTTCATGTACGCCAGTCCTCTCTCTGCCATTGCATGCTGCCTTCGAAATAGCTGCGGGGAGAAGAGACTGTCACACATCTCCTTCTGGAATATGTCCATGCAAAGGAAGTGTGGAGAAAGGGGCCATGGTTTTGCTAAGGTTCATCCCAAGCAGCTCCATGATGTGTGTCCCAGGGAATAGAACGTAGAGCACATTAAGACAAACTGAAGACAATTAATTCAGTGAAAGATGCGCTTTGGTCTGCTTGAAATTTTGCAGACTTACAGTGCAAAGATCGACTGTTGCAGACTGGCACATTTCAAGATCCAGGACTATGTGCTGAGTGATGTGCTAAAGGTTTGGGCAGCTATTGCCAAGGCACACTGAGGAAGGGTCACTTTAATGTCTTTCTGCCAAATTATAATGAGGGTCTGTTCAGTTATCAGACCCTTTGGTGCCTCCAATGTATGTAAATAGTCCTGAACAACTGAAAAATACCTTTTTTTTTACAACTGCAGGGTTTGCCAAATTGCAATTGCAATGTTTGTTCTTCAGGTGCTGTACAGATTCAGTAACTGGGTATATACATAAAGAGTTTTATGAATGAAGTATATTCGTAGCAATGAGTTGTTACAAGTGCTGGATTGGTTTATCCCACTGAGGCAAGAAAGGGGTGGTAAGGTGAAGGAACCTTGGATGACAAGGCATGTGGAACATCTAGTCAAGAGGAAGAAGGAAGCTTACTTAAGGTTGAGGAAGCAAGGATTGGTCAGGGCTCTAGATGTTTACAAGGTAGCCAGGAAGGAACTGAAGAGTGGACTTGGGAGAGCGAGAAGAGGGTATGAGAAAACCTTGGCGGGTAGGATCAAGGAAAACCCCAAGGCATTCTATACTTATGTGAAGAACAAGAGGATGGCCAGAGTGAGGGTAGGGCCAATCAGGGATAGTGGAGGGAACTTGTGCGTGGAGTTGGTGGAGGTAGGGGAGGTCCTTAATGAATACTTTGCTTCAGTATTCACCAGTGAGAGGGACCTTGACGTTTGTGAGGACAGTATGAAACAGGCAGATATGCTCGAACAGGTTGATGTTAGGAAGGAGGATGTGCTAGAAATTTTGAAAAACATGAGGATAGATAAGTCCCCTGGGCCAGATGGTAATATACCCAAGGTTACTACGGGAAGCAAGGGAAGAGACTGCTGCCCCTTTAGCGATGATCTTTGCGTCCTCACTCTCCATTGGAGTAGTACCAGAAGATTGGATGGTGGCAAATGTTATTCCCTTGTTTAAGAAAGGGAATAGGGATAGTCCTGGGAATTACAGACCAGTCAGTCTTACCTCTATGGTGGGCAAATTATTGGAGAGGCTTCTGAGAGAAAGTATTTATGATTATTTGGAAAAGCACAGTTTGATTAGAAATAGTCAGCATGGCTTTGAGGGGCGCAGGTCATATCTCACAAGCCTTATTGAATTCTTTGAGGATGTGACAAAACACATTGAAGAAGGTAGAGCAGTGGATGTGGTGTATATGGATTTTAGCAAGGCATTTGATAAGGTTCCCCATGGTAGGATCATTCAGAAAGTAAGGAGGCATGGGATCCAGGGAAATTTGGCTGTTTGGATACAGAATTGGCTGTCCAATAGAAAACAGAGGGTGGTAGTAGATGGAAAGTATTCAGCCTGGAGCTTGGTGACCAGTGGTGTTCCACAGGGATCTGTTCTGGGATCTCTGCTCTTGGTGATCTTTATAGATGAATTGGATAGGGAAGTGGAAAGGTGGGTTAGTAAGTTTGCCGATGACACGAAGGTTGGTGGAGTTTTGGATAGTGTGAAGGGCTGTTGTAGGTTGCAACGGGACATTGATAGGATGCAGAGCTGGGCAAAGAAGTGGCAGATGGAATTTAACCCACAAAAGCGAGAAGTGATTCATTTTGGAAGGTTAAATTTGAATGCAGAATACAGGGTTAATGGCAGGATTCTCGGCAGTATGGAGGAAGAGAGGGATCTTGGGGTCCACGTTCATAGATTCCTCAAAGTTGTTACCCAAGGTGATAGGGTTGTAAAGAAGGCGTATGGTGTGTTCGCTTTCATTGGCAGGGGAATTGAGTTTAAGAGCCGTGAGGTTATGCTGCAGCTCTATAAAACTCTGGTTAGACCACACTTGGAATATTGTGTTCGGTTCTGGTCACCTCATTATAGGATAGATGTGGAAGCTTTAGAGAGGGTGCAGAGGAGATTTACCAGGATGCTGTCTGGACTGGAGGGCAGGTCTTAAGAGGAAAGGTTGAGGGAGCTAGGGCTTTTTTCATTGGAGCAAAGAAGGATGAGAGGTGACTTGACGGAGGTTTACAAGATGATGAGAGGCATAGATAGAGTGGATAGCCAGAGACTTTTTCGCAGGGTAGAAATGACTATTACGAGGGGGCATAATTTTAAGGTGATTGGAGGAAGGTATAGGGGAGATGTCAGAGGTAGGTTCTTTACACACAGAGTGGTGGGTGTGTGGAATGCGCTGCCAGCAGTGGTAGTGGAATCAGATACTTTAGAGACTTTTAAGCAACTCTTGGATAGGCACATGGAGGATAGTAAAATGTAGGGTATGCAGGGAGCAGTTTGATCTTAGTAGGATAATAGGTCAGCACAACATTGTGGGCTGAGGGGCCTGTACTGTTCTATGTAACCTCAGCTGACCCACCCTAACCTGCACATCCCTGGACACTATGGAGAATTTAGTATGGCCAATCCACCCTAACCTGCACATTTTTGGACTGTGGGAGGAAACCGGAAAACCTGCAGGAAACTCATGCAGACACAGGGAGAATGTCATCCAAGGGTGGAATCAAACCTGGGTCCCTGGTGCCGTGAGACAGTGGTGCTAACTGCTGAGCCACCGTGCCCCTCGAAATGGCCTAGCCCCTGTAGCTGTTATTTATCCGTTAACCCCTTCACTCCAGGAATTGGCAGACTGGTAGTATGTTCAGATTCAGAAAGGAATTTGAGATTGAAGATTTGGAATTTGAAATTAGGATTCAGTTCGCCAGGGGCTCCACCATCCTGCCAGGACCTGCAGCCTTACATCAGGGTGTGCCTACACAGCACTCCGGGCCCGCGGGGGAGAGGGGGCACACATAATCATTAGCATGCACTGCTACTCTCTCTCTCTCTCCGAGAATGACATTAAAAGGAAAGTTTTGAGAGTGGAAAAGGCGTGTATTGGAGGGCCCGGGTGTGGGATCTTGCCGTGCATTTCTTTTTAGTAAGGTAGTATCAGACAGAGAATTTATAAGTAAAAGGTCAAACGGTCGCACTACTGATGAGGATGTACTAAACAAACTATTTTGATCAAGAAGCACACAATTTATAGTCAATGTGGTGTTTTATAAATTCCTACTTTAGAAATAAAACCAGTCTGACTCCGAACCAAAACACAAACAGATCCTAAACAAGGCCTCACACCTAACATGTATTGTCTGACCTAAAATGTCACCTCTTCTTTACACTGATGAAACCTTTAGTTCTCATAGGACAGTGATTTGAAAGGAATTTAGGGATTTACATTTATATATTAATCAATTAAAACCTTCTAACTGGTTAAAGATTTAACAGCATCTTGGGTTTGTTTAGTACATCCTCATCGATGGTGTGATCCTTTGATCTTTTCCCTATAAAGTCTGTGTCTGATACTACCTCTCTCACTAACACCTGAGGGAGGAGCAGGGCTCCGAAAGTTTGTGTTTTCAAATAAACCTGTTGGGCTATAACCTGGTGTTGTGTGATTTCTGATCCTGTACGGTTTACAATGCGTCCATGTTTCTAATAATCTGCAATATCCTGTGCTCCATTGCCTGCATCATTAATATATATCAGCAACATGAATGGTCCCCATTGCAACCCCTAGGGAACTCCACTACAAATATCCCTCCAGCCCGAAATATACCCGCTGACTGATAAATGCAAGGTGTTGTATTTTGGTACAACAGGCAGGGGCAGGGCTTATACGGTTAATGGTAGGGCCCTGGGTAGTGCTGTAGAACAGAGAGACCTAGGGATTCAGGTACATAATTCTTTGAAGTTTGTGTCACATTTAGACAGGGTGGTTAAGAAGGTGTTTAGCATGCTTGCTTTCTTGCTCAGACCTTTGAGTATAGGAATTGGGACGTCATGTTAAGGTTTTACAGGACGTTGGTGGGGCCTCTTCTGGAACACTGTGTCCAGTTCTGGTCACCCTGTTATAGGTCGGATATTATTAAGCTGGAGAGCGTTCAGGAGAGATTTACGAGGATGTTGCCAGGTGCAGATGGTATGAGTTTTAAGGAGAGGCTGGATAGGCTGAGACTTTTCTCACTGGTGTGTAGGAGGCTGAGGAGCAATCTTATAGAGGTTTATAAAACCATAAGGGGTGTGGATGGAGTCAATGATAGATTTTTTTTCTCCCTAGGATGGGGGATTTCAAAACTGGGGGCAAATATTTAAGGAAAGAGGAAAGATATTTTAAAAAAGACAAGGTGGGGGGGGCAAATTTTTTAAACAGAGTGTGGTTCATGTGTGGAATGAACGTCCAGAGGAAGTGGTGGATATGGGTACAGTTACAACATTTAAAAGATAGATACATGAATAGGGAAGGTTTGGAGGGATATGGGCCAGGAGCAGGCAGGTGGGACTAGTTCAGTTTGGGATTATGGTGGGCATGGACTGGGTGGACCAAAGGGTCTGTCTCCATGCTGCATGATTCTATGAAACTACTCCATGTTCCTTGTGCCTCTACCAGTTTAGTATTCACATCACTACTCCCCTTTGCCTTCCATAACCTACAATTTTCCTCACAAGTCTGTTGCATTGCACTGTGTCGATGTGGGGTGTCATGTTTGTGAATTCCAACAGATTGATTGAGGCGACAGTGCCTGAGGGACACAAACGACAAGACAGTTTGCGGTCAGTTCACTTTTGTTCTCTGTATTTTTTTTTCCCCATTCCAGCAAGATAGTATATTGATTTTTCAATACAAAATGTTAAAGTTATGTAGATTTACAGATAGAAAAAAAAGGAGACGTTATAGATCGGAGCCAAGTTTTTTGATGGCAATAAATAGGTTGACGATCATTGGCATCATGTTGAGATTTGGTGACGTGGGTGTTAAATTATTCATCATCATCATCATAATCGTTGTCGTCATCATCGTTGTCATCATCATCATCATCATCACCGTCATCATCATCAACGCCATCATCGTCATCGTCATCTTCAGTGTTTATCTTGCCAGAAAGAACATCCTCAATCCAATCCTCCAACTCATCAGCACTCGGCAAGTCGTCTTCGTCCATGTCGAGCCAGACGCTGTCTGCCTGCGAGGTGAAAACAGAGAGAACGGAATAGTCATCCCAAAAAGGAACAGGGAATTCAATGCCTCATGTCTCCGTCTAAGCCTTCAAGCCTAAATTCAATTCCTCATCCAAATTTTAAATGTACATTCCTGAATTCAATTTCTAATTCCAGATTCTAAGCATACACTCCTGAATTCAATTCCTAATTCTAGATTCTAAATATTCAATCATGCATTCAATCCCTCATTCCTCTGTCTAAAACTTCAAATCTGAATTCAATTCCTCATCCCTTAGTTGAAATAATCAATTTCTAATTCTAGATTCTTAGTATACAATCCTGAATTCAATTCCCAGTTCCAGATTCTAAATATACAATCCTGAATTCAATTCCTAATTCCAGATTCGAAATATTCATCCATGAATTCAATTCCTAATTCCTCTGTTTAAATCTTAAAACCTGAATTTAATTCCTTGTCTTTAATCATAAAGATTCAATCCTGAATTCAGTTCTTAATTCCAGATTCTAAATCTTTAAACCTGAATTCAATTCCTCACCCTTCAGTCCAAGTTTTCAATCCTGATTTCAAATCCTAATTTCAAATTCTAAATCTTCAATCTTAAATTCGTTTCTGAATCTGACATATATGCCATCAACTCTGAATTCAGATCCTTATCATTCACTTTACTCCTTATTTCTAGCTGAGTTCTTAAGTTTTCAATCTAAATCTTCAATTCCAGTGTGACTCCCTTACCACTGATCCTAAATTTGTATACCTGAGCTCAATTTCAAAATTCAGATTCTCAGTCTTCAATTCTGAATTCAATTCCTAATCTCTAACTCTAAATCTTCAATTTACAATGTAATTCCAGTTCTAGCTTTTAAATCCTTAAATCTGAATTTAATCTCCAATCCAGAATTCAAGAATGATTTCTGATCCCCGATTTTACCTCAATCCTGAAATCAATACCTGATCCAAGGTCCATCCTGATTTCAATCATAAGACCTGATTCCAAATCACTCAATTCCTTCTCATGTCTCTGATTTTAACACAGTCATGAATTCACCCTCTAATCCTGCATTATTCCGGATAAATAACTGAATTAATATCAATCCTTGATTCTAAATCTGCAATCATAAATTAAATTGCTAATTCCAGATTCTGACTTTGCTCCCTACCTACTGGTTTTTAATAAATTCTGAATCCAACCTCTAATTCCTGACTCCAAACCAAAATTGAATTTAATACCGAGTTCCTGATCTCAAATTAAACTGAATTCAAGCTCTGGTTGCTAAATCAAGATCACTCTTGCTTGCAATCCTACGTCTGCAATGGAATCCATTTCCCATCATTCTGTGAGATTTTAAAATTTGCAGAATGTTGAGATTCAAAAGTCGAATCTAATTTCACAGTGAGATAGTGGAAGGGTTTGTTACAAGTTTTTTTTGCTGGATCTTTTGGAACAGTTCAAGCGTCAGCGAGAAGCAGTCCTGGGGAATACAGTTTAGTTGGCAAGATACAGGACTGGTCAGGAGGTGCTTGGAATTCTGGTTTTTAGCTATCCTGCAGGAAAGTGGGCAAGAACAGCTGACTAGTTCTGGACTCAGAAGAAACGCTAGAGACTGGGATAAGTGGGAAGGTTGGCAGAAGCTGTGAGGAGCCTTGAAGCAGCCTCACATCATTGTTACGTCTTTGTAGTTGAGTGAGTGGATGGGTTGAAAAGCCCATAAACTGAATAGGTGATGCCACTCCTGGAGTACTGTGTCCAATTCTGGTCACCCTGCTGCAGGAAGGATACTATTAAACTGGAGAAGGTGCAGAAAAATATTCACCAGGACATTACCAAGACTGGAGGGTTGGAGTTAATAGGGAGAGACTGGATAGGCTGAGGCTTTTTGCCCCTGGACCGTCGGAGGCTGAGGGGGTAACCTTATAGAGGTTTATAAAATCATGAGGGACTTGGATAGCGTGAATAGACAAGATCTTTTCGCCAGGGGTGAGGGAGTTCAAAACTAGAGGGTATAGGTTGAAGGTGAGAGGGGAAAGATTTAGAAGGGACGTGAGGGGCAACTTTTTCACACAGAAGGTGGTGCGTGTATGGAATGAACAGCCAGAGGAAGTGTTAGATGCAGGTACAGTTACAATGTTTAAAAGACATTTGGACAGATACATGAATAGCAAAGGTTTAGAGGGATATGGGGCAAACTCAGGCAAATGGGACTAGTTTAGTTTGGGAACATGGTCAGCATGGACGTGTTGGACTGAAGGGTCTGTTTACCTGCTGTACGACTCTAGCTCCTTGCTACAACTGAACAAGATTAGAGCTCAGAACAACCCAGGAGTGGATCTAGCTTGGTGCAGCTAGTTGTTGGTGAAAAGCTGGAGTGTTGTGCTGATGGACTGGTGCTGGAGTGTAGTTTCATAATCATTGGGAGTGTAGACCCAGGACAGGAGGGCGATCATTCATACAGATTAGCAAAAGTGATGAATTGTGACCCCTCATTGAAACTTTGATCAGTTTTGATGACCCGGTGTGTCACTGACTTCCAGGGGGAGTCACTGAGAAAGTGGTGGTATCTATCTAGTTCACATTTGTTATATGAAATGTTGTCCAAGTTTTTCAGCTCAGTGATGTGCCCATGTGTTAGGTCTGAATGTTGGGAATAGTTTGTACATGTATAGTAGATCGTGTTACCGTTTTCTAGCATTGGGCAGTAACATTTCCTGTTTGCTCAAAACTGAGGAACCTTTTGGCTTTAGTTTCTTAACCGGTACACAGGATCTCATCTTTTGTCTGCTTAACAAAAATAAAAGTTACTGGTCCGTACCCAGATCAGACCTTATGGTTGGTAATCAGGTCTGGGATTATAACTGTCAAGATCAATCCTGATTTCATTCCTTTATTCCTCATACAAGATTAAATCTGATTCAAATGTCTAATTCTTGAATTGAAATCAATTCTGGATTCAATGATTAGTGGTTGAATCCAAATTACTTTCACAATTACATTCCTAATCGAAGATACCAGATCAATCCTGAATTCAATCTCTAATTTCTATAACCAGATCAATCATAAACTGAAATGTCAAATTCCTGAATCTGGAGAATTCCTGAATTCAACCCCTAATTCCTGAATTGAGATCAGACCCGAATTCAATGTCTAATCTTTGATTCCATATCAATCCTGAATTCAATTTCAAATTTGTAATTCCACATCATTCCTGAACTCAATATTTGATGCCTAAATCTCTAATCTCTGAATCATGATCAATTCTGAATTCAATCTCTAATCCCTGAATTCAAATCAATCCTGAAATCAATCCCTAATCCTTGAATGCAATCAGTCTGAATTCAAATCAAACCCTGATTCCAAAACAATTTTGAATTTGATTTTTTTAATGCTTTAATCAAGATCCACCCTGAATTCAACATCTAAGCTAGATCTAGATGAATCTAGATGAATCATGAATTCAATCTGATTTCTGACTTCAAAGCTGCCGTGAATTCAATCTCAAATTCCTGAACCCAAATCAACCTTGGAGTCAATTTTTACTCACTGAATCCAGTTTAGCCCTGAATTCAAGCTCCAGTCTAGTTCCAGCCTGGGAAATACTTACATCTGTGACGTTAACCACCCCAATCTGGGGCTCAGAGAGATCGATATCAAACGTCTTCTCCCAGTAAGGGTTCAACTGTCAAAGAAGAAAGGGTAACTGTTCAGTCTACAGATTTAATCATTGCCTGGGATCAGATCAAGCCCCATCAGTTTATGGAATTTCAATCACAAGTTCATGGCTGTGGGGGGTAGGGTTGGAGGATGAGGGGGGTTGGTGCACGACCAAGTACAGACACACTGAGCTGTTCGACACCCCAAGGATTCACACTTCCTCACCGGGAGCATACCACTGGATGTGACCAAAACCCTCGTCCCAGTGTGGAACATTCCAGGGTCCACCACTCTACCCTGAGAGTGGGGTGGCCCTGGATGATACAGTTGAAAACATGTCATCCCCTCTCGTCGAGTTGGGATATTCCAGGGTCATACCGCAAAACAAATGGAGCAAAAGACACCCCAAGGTGCCATCCTTGGAGGGGAGAATCTGGGGTGATTTTAATGAACAATATATCCACCTTCCCACCCCCTCCTCAAGTGGGATAGTTCACAGCTATGCCATGGGGCATATGTACAATGCCAATTTAGAATGGAAGGCTCCAGCGTTCTATCACTGAACAGATATAACCCATCCCCTCCTCCCCAAACCCACCCCTCCTCCCCAAACCCACCCTAAGTGGGACGTCTCTACCTGCCATCCTGGCATGTTGGGCATGGACCATGGCCAGACTGGCACATCCTATTGGCTTGAGGAAGCAAAACGTCATGGCACAGAGAAGACCAATGGGGCGAACGGGAGAGAGGTGGAGGATGAGGTATCGGCCAATCAGAGGCAAGGGCCAGACGGAGAGTGGGGGAGATGTGGGGTGGGGGGAGGAGTGCGGGTAGGAGGGAGTGGTGTTGGAGGCAAGTCACAGAGCTATGGCCCATGGTGGGGCTGTGGGCAGTGATGGGGGTGGGATGTCCATCTGAGGGAGGGGGTTTGGGAGGTTTTACCAGTGGGAAATTCTCAGGATCGATCCAGACGATGCTCAGGTTTGGGTTGTCAGTGTTGTCCTCAGCTACCTCCTTCACAATCTCCAGGAACTCGTAACCATCTGGGGATGGGGCAGAAGGCCAAAGCAAGAGAGAGAGAGAGAATTAGATTTTATTGATACGTGCGCTCAAGCACAGAAGTACACAGGTACAAAGAAACGTCTGCAATGTTCCCACTCCCGATGCCATCTCAGGTAGGATGGTGTGTAGGTTCAAAATCAGAGGTACAAAGTAGAAAAATACAGAAATAAGGTTAGAAAAATGATGAGGGTCACATATGGGGGTGGGGTGCTGGTGGGGTTAGGAAACAGCCCATTCCCTTTCCCCTCCCTCCCACTAGAATATGCCGCCTCCACTCCCAGTCTGTCCATCCAAACCACACTCCCCACCTCCCCCTAAAGTCCAGCAATGATCCACACTCAAAACTCACCTGTCAGACAAATGCAACTACATATCCCTCAGTTAGACCGACACTTGGAGCACTGTGCACAGTTCTGGTCCCTGTATCCTTCAGTTAGACCGACACTCGGAGCACCGTGCACAGTTCTGGTCCCTGT